CTCAGAGGGACTCCATAACTTACCGAGGAGTATACTAAGTTTACTCATTAAAAAAAAAAAGCTTAACTAATTGTAGGCTATGAATTTTCCTCTGGGTACATTTTTATCTAAACACATAGTGACTTACTCGCCTTGGCCAGCTAGCTCAGTTGGTTAGTGTCATCCCGATGCGGCAAGGTTGCAGGTTCCACCCCTGGTCGGGGCATGTGCAAGAGTCAACCAATGATGCGTAAATAAACGGAGCAACAAATCAGAGTTTCTCTTTCTCCTCCCCGCTCCCCAAATCAATCAATCAATAAAAAATTTTAAACACTAACTTTTTTCAACTGTGATTTTCTAAACATCTGGTGGTTTGGGTGTTGATTCTTTATAACTCGAAAGCTGATTAGGGGCAATTTAAAATGTCTTCAAGTCATTGAGATTTTCTGTTTGTGCCAGGAAGATTTTAAAGATGACCTTTCCCAGTGTCCCTCACAGTGTGGGACACAGACTGGTGGCGTGCCACAATATTTTCAGGGGACACATTGGCCACAGAATCGGTTAGAGGAGAGCACACTCCGTTTTCAGTTCTCCATCCCTCCTGGTTATGACAAGCTCTCAGTTTGATGCTTCTGTGTTTTCCAGGCCTTCCCGATGGCTGCTAATCTCTCTCTTTAATAGAGACAAGCCTGAGTGCGCCTCGGCACCCCCAGAAGGCGGTGTTAGAGCCGGGGGTGGCGTTAGCTTCCCCCAGGCCCCAGGGGCCGGGAATGGGGAGGGGCAGCTCCTGAGGAAAGTCGGAATGTTGGTACCAATTCCCGACTCTTCCCTTTAGTCACGTCTTTGCAGGATAACTTTGTGCCGTCCGCCCACTGCGGGCGAAGCATAATTTTACAATTGTTTTTTAAAGTGCAGGCATCTATTTTGTGGCAGTCATAGATACAGACCCTTGAAGGAGCTACGGTAACTAGGACCCGGGCAGGCCAAAAATGGAATGTCCGCTGTGTTCCCTGTTAGGAAGAGACTGAGGGTCAGAGAAGCGAAAATTCTCACCCAGGACACGAGGCTGGTAAGTGGTGGAGGTGGGATTTGAATCCAGGCATTCTGTCCTCAGAGTCTCTCCCTGGAAAGAAAACACTGACCCCTGAGGGGTGAGAGGTGACAAGGCCAAGGCCACTTGTGTGATTAAGCCCCGGGCTGTCACCGGCCACCTTTGCTGAGCCCCTGAGACCGTCAGCTCCCATTTCCAGCCCTCTTCCTGTGAACCTGCCCTACCTTGCTTCCGACGAGGGTTTCTTACGATGTGCGTGCGTGTGTATTTCATAATGATAAAGCACTTCTGTGTCGTATTTGACAGGAGGGCTGTTTTCATGGCAAGTTTAAAGCACTACTGGGAAATAATTAGCGCTACTGGAGTCAAAAACAATGGGGCCCCATCAGAAAAGACAGTTTCGGAAACTCTCGGATCTTAATTGAACAATTACCTCTTATGTCTATGAATAGTTCATTATTACCTGCCCTGTTATTATTAGCTGTTGTTATTGTTTCAGATGAATGCTGGGGATTTTTTTAAAATCAAAAGCCATTTTCAACCACACTGTTCGTCTCCCCGAACGCACGACTCTGGCGTCCCCGAATGCCGTAGCCATCAGCGGGCCTCCACGCCTCGTGATTTCTGTATTCTGGTCACCTCGGTGGCTTGGACAGGGCAGTTAACTATGCCAGACCTCTCTTCGAGTTTTTAATCTTTGACTCCCTGGTGAAAACATTTGCATGAGAATCAAGCACCCCCTACCATTTATTTTGTAGGATCCCAAAGTCTTTGGGGACAATGGGAAGATCTTTGTTCATAAGGAGAGAAGAGACTGAAAGAAAAGGTGGGGGTGGAGAGGGAACCAGGGGACAGGAGAGAAGGGACTGCGGGCAGAGCTTATGGGCTGGTGCTGATCCTCCCCAGAGGTCATGTCCCCTCTTCCTGTTCACAGCACCTCGTTTTGTTTCCAGTTCTGGCTCAGACAGCCACTGGGACTCTATTTCCTTTACGAGGTTAACCACGTGAACCAGTTGCGACCCGTGAGACGAGGGGAAGTCTGAAGGAGGAGTCCAGGAAGCGAGGAGAGATATAGGAAGATACTGTCGTTTCCTGTCTTGGGCACTGTCAGGCCTGAATGTGATGTCTGGAGCTGCAGCAGCCGTTCTGTGACCAGGAAGGGACTCAGTGGACAGAAAGATGACAAGGACATGGGTCCTGGATGATACCATCGAGCAGTGGAATTAACCAACCCTGATCTTCTTAGGTTGTTTGAAATAATTTTCTTATTTAAAGGTCAGGGTTTCCTGTTACTCTGCCCAACTCATGCAAATACAAGAACACACTTTTATTCCCATTTTACAGATGAAGAAAGTGAGACCTAATGAAGTAAACACACTTGCCCAAGGACACATGGCCTGGACACGGTGGAGCCAGGATTTGAATGCTCTTAGGAGGAAAATTTTATGGAGGGTGGCAGGATTTTTTATTTTTTTGGGGGGGCTTTTCTGAAGCACGCACCCAGTTCATTTCTACACAGCAACAGGCTGGTTTTCCCCGTGGCTCCTTCCTCCAGCACGAAGTCCCCACACCCAGGGGTGTGGGACCCAAGGCTGGACCAAGGTTCTGGAGCCAAATGGGCCATACGTGGGGGTTGGAGTGGTTTTTTTGTTCTGGCCATAGCAGGCAGTTGAGAGCTCAGAGCCTGAACCAGGCTTGTGTTCTGTCCCAGCTGCTTTTCCGTCCACCAGCCTCAGCTGTGTCGCTTTGAGCAAATGATCGGCCTTCTCTGCGCCTCTCCAGCCTCGCCTGAATTGCACGCACCTGGAAAGGGGTGAGGCGCAGGGCGGCGGGTCCTCAAATAAGGCCGTTTTGTTCAACGTTTCATTTTAACGTGGGTGAGGTGCTGTAGGAACTCAACTGTTGCTTGTATCAATCAGCTTGTGGTAATTGGTTTCATCTTACATCGTTTTGCATAAAGTTGCAGAATCTGTGGATGCTAAATGAGGTCTTACTGCGCCGAACCTGGTGACTGGTCCAGTCGTCCGCAGTAACTGGGCTGCTGGTAATTGTAGCCGCGATCATAAGGGTCTCACCCTCACCTGCGCTGCTCCCCGGTGTTGTAGGAAGTTGATTGACTGCATGAGGTGCGACACCGGAGGGCCACGTGAGCCCAGCTAGCTCAGCTCCCGGGGGAAGGAGCCCTGCCAAGGCCCCCAGGGAGTCTGTGCCAGGACACGGCTAGAACCCCAGCTGGGCCTGGGGCCCCCCACTTGCTCTGCTTAGAAAGTAGGTCCTCAGCCTCCACCTGCAAGTGTGAGGGACCTGGCCTAAGGGTGGTTCCAGTCTCAGCTCCTTCCCCTCTCCAGATGCCCCAGTGTGGGAGGGCCTGGCGGTGGGCCCCGGACCTGGGGACTTGGGCTACCCTGACACCAGGTTGGTGGTCCCTGGGACCAGTTGAGCCACAGGCTGAAGCCCAGCCCTAAACCTGGCTGTGGACCTGTTGTCCTGCCCCCTCCCAAGGACCCACATTGTGCTTTTTCTTTTTTTAATTCTGTCTCTGGTCTGGTTGGGATGGAATAGTCCAGGGCCACTCGGAGTAGCAGTGGCAGGATTTGAGCCCACGCCTCGCTCGCTCCAGAAGCTGGCCGGGCCTGCCGGGCTTGGCCGCCTCCGGGGGCTGCCCTGCGCTGTGATGCCCCTCGGGGGGCTGCAGCTGGATCTGAAGGAGGAGGCCGCCTAAGGCAGGGCGTGGGGTTCATGCCAGAGCCTGGCTCCCTCTCCCCTTCCCTGTGGCCGTTTCTCAACTTCTCTGTGTCCTTCCTCATCTGTAAAATGGGGGTGATTTGTGAGACTACATTATGTGAGGTCAGAAAAGCACTTTGTCAGCGCCGTTTACATACCGTTTATTACTCCCAGCGGCCTTCCACGCAGCGCTGGCTTTCCCCGCTCATTGCTCTGCAGGGCCCTGTTCCCCAGGGGACAGGGCGACACGCTTGGTTCATTGACCCAGCGCAGAAGGGCCTGGGGCCCTCCCTGGACATGGCCCCTTCGTCTAGGAGCCCACGTTTCCTCCTCCAGGTGCTGCTGGCAGGCCCAGAGCCTGGACTTAGGGAGGTGGATGCTGCCTCCCCTGCAGGGTTGCACCAGGGCATCTCCTCTGTCCCCACCTCTGCCAGGACGTCACCATGCCAGGCACCCAGAGAGCTCCATGTATGGGAGGGGACGCCCGCATCTGGGGACTCCCCTGTTCCCTCTGCCCAGCTGCTGGGCTGGCACAGGCCGCTGGAAAAGGCAGGGACAGGACGTGAGGACAAGTCCATGCTGTGGGGTTCGATCCCCATCTTTCTGCAGACTTGCAGTGTGACCTCAGGCAGGTCACTTTGCATCCCTGAGCCCGCTTCTTCCTCTAGAATACCCACTACCTTGCAGGGGTGGTGAGGCCCCAACCAGGTACAGTGCACATGGAAGTGCCCAGCACAGGAAGTGCCTGAAAAATGCTGAGCTCCTAGGGGTGGGGCGGTCACCTGCAAATTCGTAGGTGGGTGCTGGGCTGGCCAGGGAGATGGCCAGGGCCCAGCCATTTTGGCCTGCCCCCAGCCACACTTGCCCCCATGGGAGCTGGGAACACGTGAGGCACAGAGGAAGAGCTGGGAAGGAATTTAGTGGTAAAGGGGGGACGCCCCCCCAGACCACCTCCACGCCATTCAAGGGGCCCAGGGTTGGTTCTGTCTTGGCTGCTCTATGGACGAACCTCTTGCCTGACCAAGTGGCTGACACGTGAACAGGGCAAGTGAGAGTGGCCACCTCGAAAGAACTAGAAGAGTAAATGGAACCCCAAGTGCAAAGTGGCCTGGGGGGGGGCTCCTCGCTTGCTTCCCTGGGGCGCCACCTGGCCTGAGGAGGGGGGGAGAGCACACTTTTCTCCTAAGGGGGGGTAAGAAAGCGCAAAACAAGAGCCGCAAAACAATCCCACAGCCAAGACACCACCTGAGTTTTCCGTTTTTTTTCTTTCTCTTCGTTTTTAAAACAATATAGTGCAGACTGCACTTCTCACAGTAGAATATAATGGTCAATTTTAGTATAAAAAAAAAACATTCTCAGAGATTTGTAAATGCACTTAGTGCTTGAACAGGCCTTGGAGAGAGATACAGTACGGCTTCCGGAGTGCCAGGAGGGCCAGGACCGGGGGAGCTCGGGCCTCGGGGACTTCATGGGGGGACCCCGCCGGCCTCCCCTCACCCCTGGATGGTGTGGGGCAGGCCTTGGAGGGCGGCTGGCAGGAAAGGAGTTGCATTGCGTCTCCCAGTTAGAACCAGTGGGTTACCCCCTCGCTGGCTCCAAGGAAGGAACCCCCGAAGGCGGGGAGGTAGGGTTCCTCTGACGGGGTCTAGGACGGCAGGCCCACTGCTAACCCCGTGGCACCTTTGTGCGAATAGGGAAATGGCACCCCTTCCTCAAGCATCGGAAAATTGCCGTAATAAATATACAAGCCTGGGTGCCAGTGTCTCCTTAGATGAGGTGCCCTTGTGCGGTGCACAGCCAGACAGCTGTGCCCAGCAGCCCTGTGAGATGTACTGGGGAGAGGGGAAGGTGGGGGTCCAGGGTTTGGAGAATGGGATAGGGGTGCGATTTTTCTGTGCTGGGAAGGAATGTGGGGAGGGGAAGGAGGGTCTGTAGTACCTGGAGCCTCTGTTACAGTGGCATTCCCCCGGACTGGCCAGTGGGGGACACTGTGGGACCAGTGACTCCCTTTTCCAGGTGACTGGGGAGCTTGTGGGGGAGAAGCTATCAGACCCCTGGGGGCTGCTTGGACCCCACCCTGATTCGAAGCCATCACATTTCTTCCTGCCTCCCACCCTGGCCTGAGCGCCTCTCCCAGGGGAGCCAGAAGGAACCACTCCTGTTTTGAAGTGGTTTCTGCCTCCCTACCTCTGCCAGTGTGGATGGGGGAAGGCCTGGATGCCCGCAGCTGCTCAGGGGCCCTCCCCACGTCCTGGGGCAGCTGACGCAGGGGAGGGGCCTTGGTGGGCAAGGTCACCCTGCTGAACCTCATGGCAGCAGCCAGCCTAGCTTCCCTGTGCGCACCCGTGGGCCCCTGCGCGCCGACCGCTGTCCTTCGGCCTGCCTCCCACCTGGCGCCCTGTCCCTCTGTCCGTGAGGCCACAAGGCAGGCCTTATCTGTAGACGGGAAGGCGGATGTGGGCGTGCTGGTGGTCGAGCAGCCGGGGCACGGCCACCGTCTCGTAGCCCTTGCCTAGCATTTGCTCCTTGATGCAGGGCGGCCGGATGTCGTTGATGAGATACTCCAGCGACTGCAGGCTGCTGCTCAGCACCGCCGTGTTGCATACGCTCTTGCTCGGCAGGCCGGAGAGGGCCTCGGCCGGGGGCCCGGTCAGCTCCCGAGCCACCCCGGGCCCCAGCTCGGTGACCGCCACGGCCGCTGGGTTGTAGCAGTCACTCGTGGGAGTCACCAGCACGCTGTTCCAGGGCGCAGCAAAGTACTGGCCCACAGTGAAGCTGGCGGGCAGCCCCACGCCGCAGTTGAGGGGTGACCCGCTGGCCCGCTCGTAAGCCCGCCCCCCACAAGCCTCTGGGGATTTGCTGGCCACTGTGCCACCGCTATAGGCCCGCAGTGGCTGGGGTGGTGGGGGGGGTGGCTTCTGTGGCCACAGCAGGTAATCCAGGCTGCCATCCACGTACCCTGCAGGCTTGGTGGCTCCAGCCAACGTCAAGGCCGCCGTGCTTCCCTGGCCCAGCTCGGCGCCCTTTCGGCAGTCGGGCAGGCCGGCGGCGGCCGAGTAGGCCATGCTGGGGAAGCTGGGCACGGGGCCGTGCTTGGCTGGGCTGGGGTGGGGCACAGCCACGCCCTGGCAGGCAGCGGGTGCAGCGCCCGGGGCCTGGCACTGCTGGTTGAGCTGGTAGAGGATGCTGTGGATGGAGGGCAGGTTGGAAGGTGGCAGGGCCAGGCCGCGGCCGGGCAGG